TTTTTAAAATTTATTTAGTTTTTTATTTTTATTTTTTAAGACTTGATAATTATAAACTATTTAATAATTTAATAGTTATTACTAAAATATTAAATTAAATATTAACCTACAAAACATCTCAAGTTTGAACAATTTAGGATTATTTCACTCAAAAGTCAGAACGATGTCATTTTGAGTGATTGGCGCTGTTTGGTAAAAAAAATTGGCCTATAGGCCAATTTTGGCTTATTTGACCACTATTAATTGTTTGATTTAGTTAAAATATCAATATAAATGTTTGGTTAATTAGCTTTTTGCAACTCCAAAAGGCTAAAATTTAAAAAGCTACTCCTAGCAACTTTTTCAATTAGCTTTTTGAGAAAAAAAATTATACCAAACAGCTATCAGCAGTCAACTAATTTACCAAACACTTTTCTACAATCAGCTAATGTTATCAACTATTTATACCATCTAATTAACACAATCAGCTAACAGCAAACAACTATCAGCTAACAGCCATTTTACCAAACAGGGCCATTATTTCACTCAAAACGATGTTATTTTGAGTGAAATAACTCATTTTTTTTTAAAAAAAAAAAAAAAAAAAAAAGAGAACAATAGCTAATCAGCCGATTAGGCGACCTAGTCGGTGCCTAGACGGCCTAATTAATACCTAGGAGGCCTAGGCGGTCAGCACCTAAACGGCCTAGTTGGCCGCCTAGATCACCAATTATGGTGATACGCTAATCGACTGACTGACATCTAGTGCTTAGGTGCCTATTAATCGGTGCTTATGTAAGATTTTTACAACACTGCTCTTGTGCATATTTCAATTTGTCACTGATTAACTAATACACAAAGAACAGTTTCCTAAAAAACTAATACACGAAGAATTAATTACTTCATCCACAAAACTTCTGAAACAGAACTCTTGAGATTAAAGCACGAAATCAAAACAAGTGTCAAATGAATTGGAGCATAAATGTCATAATCATTGTCAATAATGCCTAGTATAATTTCTAAAATCAAGTTGTCAACAACAAAGTGAGCTAACACTATAGGTAATAAATCTACCCCTTAGCTTACCACTTTACTTTGAATTGTCAAATGAACATATCATACATTCACCCTATCTGCACTCCTTTATAAATAAATAAATAAGTAAACGCGAACACACAAATAAAGCCAATTTTTTTGGACCATGCTTTGCATCTAGTCCCTTCATATCAATCCAGGTTACTTTGAACAAAGTTAACCTAGATTCAAATGAATTATCCACAAGAATTTTGGTGCAAATTGTTGAATCTCAGCGCTGCATTATGCTTAAGCTAAGTACACTTAACTACAGAATCCTTTGGCTATCTTGTTGCTATATTCTACTTAAAACTAATTGGTGATAAATATGTGAACATAAATCGTTTAACAACATCACTTGTAAGTCACAACGTCATGTCTCAAATTGAGCAGGGATTGAACTCGGCCGACGCTCAACACAAATATTTTACAGGGTTCATATCAGATCATGTAAAAAAGATAAATGATTAAAAAAAATCGAGTGGTCGCCAACGCCAACTAGCATTTTTTTTTTTAAATTTATATTCCAAAAAAAATTCGGGAAAAACTCATGTATTGCCACAAACAAACACCCCCCCCCCCCCCCAAAAACTTTCTCCTCTCCCCACCTAGAAAAAAAAATGTAACAAAACTCACTAACGGTTGAATTTGCTCTAATACCATTTTATGTTTCTCTCTATATCTTCTTCTTGATGTCAAATTAAACCTCCTTAAACAAAGTGACCACCCCAATCAATTCTAACATTGTAACATCAATGAGCCTATCTTATTTCTTTGAAATGTACACCCCCCCCCCCCCCCCGACCCCCACCAAAATAATGATATATCTGTTTCTTTCATTTTGGTCAGAAATAAATAGTAGTGTAGATTGGAACACTACATGTAAACATTAATAATTTGGCACAAAAAGTTAAACATATAGATATAGGAAGCCCTAACCACATGGTCAGGACATATCATTAAATTTCTGTTAAATCATACAAGTGTATGATGCATATATGGCTAGCTTCAAGTTATTGTTACATATCTAACGTTCCAAGTAAAACTAATAATGTTGTCAAACTTTTATACATTTGGATATCAATATATATAGTTTCATTGTTAACATTATTGTTAGGTAACTGCATTCTTCAACTTTGGAGTTGAAACTTCTCATTAAACTAGAAGTGACTTACGTCATCTAATTTACACTCCCCTAATCCATTATCACGTTTTTTGGTACATTTAAAAAATAAAAATTCAAAATGTTCGTATTATCCTAGAATAATTGAACCAAGATATTCTAATTTAATAAGACTTCCTGATTTCCCTCTTGCAAATAATACTTTATTTATGCGATTCTGCTGGTTTATCGTCTTAAATTTATTTAATTAGAAAAATCACTTTTGATTCACGGGACAGTTCACATTCGCTATCTGAAAGTGCGCTATGGGTAAAGTTTACCTTTTGACCCTAACCAATAAAAGATCACAATGAGATAAACTATATATCTTAGGTTGCTCATAACTAAACGATTTAAACCAAGAAGACCAATAGACAACTCCAACAAAGAATTAAACTTAAAACTTTTTACCAAACTAACGGTTATACAAACTTGGCTGGAATCACCCCAATTAAAAAAATCACCCACTCTATGAACATCTTATTAGTTATTTTGCCCGCATGACTGCTCAGTTAGTCACAAGGGTGAAGTGAGTCTCACCAGCAGCATTGTGGGAGCAACCTCTCAAAGTGATCAGCTGAGTCACCAGCAGCATTGTGGGAGCAACCTCTCAAAGTGATCAGCTGAGTTACCCAGACAGCATTGTGGGAGCAACCTCTCAAAGTGAGTCACCAACAGCATTGTGGGAGCAACCTCTCAAAGTGATCAGCTGAGTTACCATGATTTACATCCTCCCAGATGCTCTGTCGAGCCGAAGTGTGGAAGTTTTTAGGGTTGAAAATTCTACCTTTTGGGAACAATCTTATTAGTTATTTCATTAATTCTCGAATCCCAATTTAAAGCAAGTAGGGAAATGTGGATGAGTTTCAATCAAATTATCAAATCAATAGACAATAGCTGTGTTCAGATGCAAAATTGTCAAATACAATTAATTGCAATGGAGAAAAGTTGAAGGGACACTCCGATCCGCTCCATGAAACAACAATAGCTTGACTATCTTTGCCGCTGTTTGACAAAACTTGCACTAGTTAATGTCTACTACAAAATTTGTCAAATTGGACCGTTTCTTCTGCAATATATGGGTTACAAGGTAGCACGAAATTTGGAAACGAAAAAACTACAAAAAATGAAAATATAAGTTGAATCCCTAACCCCAAAGATCCCTACACTCCAGCCCGATAAAATGGTGGATGAATACCTTATGGTAATTCAACAATCTCTTATGTGGGAGGACGATCGAATACCTGTTGCACCTTTTTTTTGTTTGATCACACATTTTTGAAAAACTATACCATGAACTAGGGTTTACCTTTATGGACCTTGACAAAAAACGATATTCAGATTATACACTCGTAATTAGTATATTATGTCTCTTCATTTATCATATTATACACCTATAAATAGGTTGCGCTTGTTCCAAGAATCCAAAGTCAATGTCTTCTTCTTTTTTCTTTTGCCCACAAAAGGCAAAATTCATCGCCCCATGCGACCCTACACCCCAGCTCGATGCTGGATGGGTAACTTACGATAATTCAATGATCTCTTAGGTGGAAGGATGAATACTTGGTGCACTTTTTTTTTTTTTTTTTTGTTTGATTACAAGTTTTCGAGAACTTATACCATGAATCATGGTCTATCTTGCATTGTGTATTTGCAATTAACATATTATGTACTTTTATTTAACATATTATACACCTATAAATAAATTGAAGGTACATAATATGTTAAATGCAGATACAAAATTTATTAACCGAAGGCACATAATATGTTAATTATAGACATATAATCTGAATGTTATTTTAGATCAAGATCCATAATGTAAAATGTAACTTGGTCCATGGCATAACAATTGTAAGTTTTCTTAGCCATGGTACACTAAGACCCTACACACCACTATTATATATTCGTTTTAGTTAGGATTTCATAGGTGGCAAAGTAGTGCGGCAATTTATATCTTGGACCAGGGTTCACATAGCGTTATGAACCCTAAATCAAAACGACAAGATACAGAATTTATACTCGTAAGGTAAAGAATTTTATAACACAAGATACAAAAAATCACAACAAAATATATATTTACCTATTTTTCAAATGTGATTTAGGTACATAATTTTTGTTCATAGGCACAGAATTTCACAACACAAGTCACAAAAATCATAACGTAAGATACAATTACTAATTTATTTTAGGTACAGATTTCAAACTCTTCAAATACAAAATTTCATAACACAAGATATACAATGCCCTGCGAGCCATGGTCAATGGTATAATGATTGAAGCAGTGTGCACGGTTGCAAAAACGACGTCGTTTTGACTAAAAATGCGCGTCCCACTTAAAACAAAATTCAGTTTCGATTCCCGGCAACAACATTATGTTGTGCATAATTTGAAATATACATCCAGAATGAATGAACTAAACATCCAGAATGAAATGAACTAAAAATTCAGAATGAATGAACTAAATATCCAGCATGAATAAAAAAAAAATCAATTTCGATTTCCGTCTAAATATTCATAATGAATGAACAATATAATATTGTTGAGGGGAATCAAAACTTTTTTTTTTTAAGTGAAACGCGCATTTTTAATCAAAACGACGTCGTTTCTGCAACCGTGTGCACCATCATAACATTAGAAGCAGTGCCTTACGGGTTTTAAAATGAATGTTTCTTTGGACATTGATTAAAAAATAAAATCTGGCCTCAAGACCCAATATTGGATTGGGCCTAATGATCCACTTTGATAAAGGCCCAATATGCTGCAAACAAAATTTCAGCCCATTTTAGTCTTCCATTATCCTTTAGCTCTGAGCTCCAGTTTCGCAGAGAGTCTTCACTGTTCTCTCATTGTCTTCCTCAAAAAGCCTCCGAAGAATTCCTGCAATTCTAGCTATGCTCAACCTCGGCGAGTTTCCTACACAGCCAAAATGTTGCGTAATCTCACGCCTCCCCATTTCACAACCTCGCCCATTTGCTCTCAAAGCCCCTCAACCTCATTTCTGTTCTCCCTCAAACAGAGCGACCCGTTTAGGTTTTTGCTCATTCAAATGGAAATCCAGAACTAGGTTTCGCTTACACGCCTCGAAGAATCAAGGGAAAATTGAAAGTGAGAGTGGAAATTTTCTACATGAAATGGAGGATTTTGATGGCGCTGATGATTTCGATGAGGATGGGGATGGTGATGATGATGATGAAGTGTTTGTTCCTCTGAGGAATATGAAGGAATGGCTTCAGAATAAACCGCGCGGGTTTGGAGAAGGCAAAGTGTACGATACTTCGATTGAGGATGAGCTCATGGAGGAAATTGAGCAGAGCAGGAGAGCGCAGCTTGCTAATATCAACAACCTTAAGAACAATCCAGTAAATCAAGGTTCCATGAAGAAACAGCTCCCCCAAGGAGAAGGTAAAAGTGTTTTTACTCATTGTTTTGTGTAAATTTGTAGTTTGTGAGTTCCTTTATGATATATGTGTAGGGATGCCAATTTTAGTCCGAAATGTAGTGTGGTCCGATAAATTCAAAAAAATTTAAGTTTAGGGGTAAGAAATTTTAGATTGATAAATAAAATTATCTAAGGCGAGCTTGAAATTTAGTACATAGCTCGAGTCACGTAAGACTATTGTCACGGGCATAGAGTTGGACGCTTGTGTGGCTGGTTTCGCCCTACTTAGGCTCATCAGGGGAACGGCCATTAGCTCCCGACCACCTTCATAGTCAAGTCCAAGACCAACTACAAGCTCCCCAAATTTAATCGGTCGGTGACTCAGCCAGACCTTAGCGTCTAAGGTAGAAAAACCCTTAGCGCTACGAAGCCCCCTTTACCCATTTGGCAAGCTAACCAGTTGGTCTATTTATTCATTGGGTCTTAACACGGTCACGGAAAACAGTGTGTGACACTATTCTTTGTTCCACGAGTGATGCAGTACAAAATGTATAGAGAATTTATACGTAAGTTCATCATTAGTAATTTTTCTTAAATTTGTAAATAAAATTTTAATAAATTTATTACGGAGTATAAAATAAAATATTTTTTATGAACATAAATAATGAAAAAAAAAACTTATTATAATTATTACGGAGTATATTAGTGTAAATATATTAATTATTTTTAGTTGAAATTTAAAAATAGAGGCTTATATTGATTGAATGATGTATAAGTTTTTATTTATCAGTGTAATTGCACTAGTTTATTAAACCCGACTAGAGGTTTTAGGGTTAGAGTCAAGAATTTAAACTCGACCAGGGAAAAAAAAATCAATTAGCCTGAATCGATAAGCTCGATAGGACTAGCCCGAAACCAAACTGGCTGGCCCGGTTGACATCCGTAATATTGCAATGGATAATGGATTTTTTTCAGCTATTTCAACTTGTTACTTTGGCAGTATATGCTATTCCTTTGCTCATTACTGCTCATGAATCAATGGTTAATTCTACTCTTAGCAGCATTGTTCCCAGAATGTGATTGATGGTACATAAGATATGTTGCTGGATAGTTTATAGTGATATATGCACACTGGTCAATGGTCATTTCACTCATTTGTGCAAATGTCCGAGTACCGTGTCTTGGCAAGAGGAAGTTAGTGTTTATATCGGCCTGCCATGTATTCTCACATAGGTGTTAGAGTTGGTGTACATTTTTTTTTGGCTAACGAGAGAAACTCGTAGCTATTACCCGAAGGTGTAAATCCCTTTGTGACCCTATCCTGCAAACCAACCTAGGTTGCCCATAGCTAACCGGCTTAAACCAAAAAGGCCATTTTTGTTATGATGAATATATGCACATGTAAGTTTAAATGGAAGATTCATTAAAATGTGCAATCTTGTAAGAAAGAACATCATGAAGTTATATTTAATACTTTTTGTTGTGCAAATGCATTACTCCTACTGTGAAACTAATTTGCAGTTATATACTGGAGTTTTTACAGTATCAAAAGATGTTCAGGTTGGCTTCCGTGTGCGTTTGTTCAACCTTCCTAAGAAAAAGAACATTCTCAAAGATCTACAATTGGCTTTCAAAGGATTTCCTGGAATCATTAACATAGTACCAGTTGTTTCTGGGAACATTAAGACCAGGGACCCTATCTGCAAAGGCATTGCATTTGTTGATTTTAAGTCTGAAGATGGAGCTCAGAGGTAAACATTTTATACTCGTGTTGGATGTTGGTATTCTCGCCACTTTCTTCCTTCCTGCCATTGCTAGACCAATGACATCTGACCATTAATGCTGTCTTTAGATAGTGTTAAAGAGTCACATTATAGCCAATTGAGAGACCCTAGTCCAACATAGTATCAAGAGCCTGTTCGGTCTGCTTTGGTGGCGTCCAGAGTTTTCGTTTCAGGGGTGATGAGGTTATTTGATAGTGTTGATAAGATGGTGAAAGGCAAACACCAATAGAAAATAGCTTGAACTTTTTAGTATACAATACAATTTTACAAAATTGTGATAAGGTTTTTCTGCTCATGGTAGATTTGTACAGACTTTTTCGGGGCAGAGCATATATTTTGGTAAGGTTCTGAAGAATATAAAATGTGAGATGATGAGTTCCAGCTCAACCAAGCTCAAAAATGCACACTCAGTCGACGAAACTAGTTATGATCCGTCAGAACCTGATTCAGATGAAGAAGAGTTAGAAGCTGATTTTGAGATCGATGCTCATACCTCGGATTCGTGGGAGGAAAATGATCCTAGAGAGTATGATGCTGAAGCGGAACATACATCAGCTCAAATGGATGGTTACGATGAAAATATGGAGACTGATTCGGGCGATGAACAAGATAATGCAATGGAAGGGTCTGATACCAATGTACCCTTCTCTACGGTTCAAAAGAAAGTAGTAGTAAACGAGAAGAAGAAAAAAGCTAAACGAAAGAAAGAGACAACGCCTAAACTAAACATTCCAGGATCTGCCCGGAGGTATGTTTACATGCCTTGTATCCCTCCCGGGTTTCATGTGCAAAACCTTATAGTTTACAATGTTTTTCAGGCTAAAGATCAGGGAGAAAGCTCTACTTACTGGAGTTCTCACCAAATATGGACTAAACACTGCTGAAGCTGTGAAAGAACCGAGCTAACTGAAGCATTTTTACCTATATACGTATGTTCCCTCAGACCCTCGCCCCTTATCACGACTCTATTAAGTCCATCTGTTGATTTTGTCGTTTTTAAACCCAATTTTCAGACAAGATGAAGTAAATACCCGGCTTTCAGGGAATCATCATGAAGTGAAAATGAAGCACACCAGAAGCAGGTTGGTTCAAATGATACCCCAATCCTTTGAGTTTCATTTACTACTTGAATCAGGTCAATTCTCAAAACATTACCGAGTTACCATATGCATAAAACGCCAATTGATGTAGTAAATTCATACCACCTAAATATTCCGATCTTAATTGATTTCTTTGATTTACAGGAAAGCCTGCAAAACTGGAAACTCAATATGCTGCGTAGTAGATCTTTGGTAGAAAATTATGTTGAGTAGAATGTGTTATTTATATTGGTAAGCAGTTAACAATTTAGGTACAGAATAGTTTGTAGTTTGTTACTCTAATACCCAGAGCTCAGGATGCTCTCTATTTTTTGATCAATACAATATAAGCGAAATAGAACTAGAATCCTTGTGATCAAGGTGGAATTGTCCTTCTAAGCGTTTCCACACACTATCTGACAGTGCGCACAAGGAATCCCTTATTTTGAGAGGTTGCTTTCACACTGATAATATTATTTCATACTTGATATTATTTCCAAATTTGTCTTTTTAAACGAATCCAATCAAATAAACTTAAAACGTTTTTAAATGTATGAAAAAGATTTTAAAAAACATTGATATTTAGATTAAATATATATATATATATTCATTTTACCTGCCATATTTATTTGTTTATTTTATTTAGTTGTTTACTTATTTTTAAATTTAATTTTTATTTTATTTTTAATAATACTTTTAGTGTAGTTTTTAAACATAAATTTTTTATATTATTGTCTCGGTTACTAGTTTTTGAACCTATTGAAGCATAAAAAGCAAGGTTGAAAAAATCGCTAGGTGCCTGGGGACCGCCTAGGTGGCCGACCGCCTAGCGCCGATTAATCGACGTCTATGCCCGATTTTTGCAACACTGATAAAAAGTCAATATCGCCTCATTCGGGCTCGAACTCATAATCTTCTATTTACGATAGTCATTTCATGCTATTGGACCACAAGGTCATTGGTTACTGAAATTAATATTATGAAAAAAAAATTAAAAAGTAATTCAATTAAATATTGTTAATCAAACTAGACACATACAATAAGAAGAAGGAAATACTCTGTATTATTTAAAGAGAAACTAAAAAGGAAAGTAAGACAAAATGAGAAGGTGTAATTATTTACTTATAAGTCTTTGATTTTCTAAATTCTTATGATCTTATTCAGTTGTTATATTATAGACCGCGGTGCATAATCGATTATGCACCGCGGCCCATATACGGCGCCGTTTCTTTAAGTAAAGAAACGGCCCGCCGTTAGAGTTAACGGAATCCGTTTGTTTGGTATATTAAACACCAACTGACACTACAGTATATCCAAACCGACACTGCAGTTATATCAAAATGATACTGTAGTTATAGTGAAATGAAACTGCAGTGTATATAAACTGAAACTGAATAACATTTCACATATTTGAGTGTATATTGTACAATGAAGCTGTAATTATATTAAAATGATCATGTAGTTGTGTTTTAATAAAATTATAGTGTATATAAAATAAAATTAAATAACATTTTCACATATTTGAGTCTATAAATATCGAAATGAAACTGTAGTTGTGTTCAACTGAAACTGCAGTGTATACAAAATGACACTGAATAACAGAGTTACTTTTTGCAAAAGGGTGCAAAACGGCGGAAATAAACACGATTAATTTTCATTTTAAAAAAAAACGCGCGGTGCATAATCGATTATGCACCGCGGTGCATAATATAATTTGCCGATCTTATTATATTTACATTTCGTAACTTCTTACTATAAACTACAACTACTTAATTAGGGTTATACACTACTTATACGGAGTAATTGTTTGGATACAAAAATATATTTCAAATACAAATAACCAATTCGGGTCGGATTCGCAATAATACCTAATTTACTACCCACCCACCCCTCACCCCTCACCCCCCACTCCCCATCCACCCAATCCGCCACCCACCCCTCACTCTTCTTCACGCTTCTTAGTCTCTTAGACGAACAAATTCGACAGTCTCTGTTCATACAGAGAGTGCAGGCTTTAATTTATCCCGGCATCGTCGAGAAATTAGCGGTATGTATCGTACTTTTCACCTGTATTTATCTGTTTGATCATCCTTTTTTGTCTTTTAACTGTTAAGGCTTGGGGTTCTGATTTCTCCGATGGCTGTTATAGTTTTCTTGTGAATAAGTTCATGAATAATGAGCTTTATGCTTCTGGTTGGAGGAATAGCTGGCGCTTTGCAGTGTGGATACGGAAAAGAAATGCATTTTGCAGTTTTTAAGTTCATGTGACGAGTAAAGTTCGATTTTGGGGTGATGAAAGGAGGAATTACGTATAAGTTATAATAACCCAGTTGTGAAGTTATCATTTAGGTGTTATCTTTTAATGAAGGCTTAAGAAGAGAAAGGGATTATGAAGAAGACTATTTTTTTCTTATCTTTTTAACCTAAAAAATGGAAAAAGGAAGTTTGTTTTAATGATAAAGGTTGAACCTTGGTGGAATGGTGGTTATGGTGGATAATCAGATGAACTGTACTTATGAACTGTACATTTAACTGTTGAATGATGAACATTACTTTTTTGTGTGTTTGGTTTTCTGCAGGGATTGGTGGAGTCTGAGGAAGGTTATGTGTAATGAACAGTTTGTTTCATGCATGTACAGTTGCTGCTGCATTATCGAAGACTACCTTTGTAGGGAGGAGTTCAATTTGCAAATTCTCAGCTTTCCCTTGGAAGGCGAGTGTCAACCATGATGGAATTAGAAGCTCTAATTTTAACTTGTTTCTGAAAAGTGTTTGCATCAGGTTTCATTCATCTAAAGAGTCTCGAGGAAAGAATTCTCGATCGCGCAAGTCCAAGCCCGCTCCTGCTTCTCCCCCAGTAATGAAGGAAGAGAGAGACGGTTTCTTTGTTGTCAGGAAAGGAGATCTTATTGGAGTATACAAGAATTTGAGTGATTGCCAGACTCAAGTTGGATCCTCGGTAATTAACCTGATTTTATCATCTATCTAGGAGTGCATAAGAGGCTTTTTCTTTGTGCTTGTGCAGTGCATTTGATTATTTATTATTAATGTTGATAACCTGTATTTCATGCACTGTGGCGATTTTTCTGCATATGAGATGTATAGGTTAATTTTGGATAGTCAATTATGAATTTATGATATAGTTTCTTGTGAGAAAGAAAATGGTTCAGCTATGATAGTTTGGATAGGTGTTGTCCCTGTAATTAGATATTTATAACAGTTGTATTGGATGTTTGAAAATATTTTATCTTGAAGTTAAATTGGGTGATGTCTGTTCGGATTACTCAATTCTTTTCTGTTTTTCCTTCCTTGGCAGATATGTGATCCTCCCGTTAGTGTGTTTAAGGGCTATTCTATGCCTAAGGACACAGAAGAATATCTTCTCTCCCGTGGGCTTAAAAATGCTCTATATTCTATCAGAGCCCAAGATCTAACTGAAGATCTTTTTGGCACTTTGGTATCTTGCCCTCTTCAGGTGAGAGACTATTGTTTTGCATGCAGTTTCGGTAGTCCTTTTTCATTTACTCTTCTTCTTAATGCATTACTATTTCAAAGCGTGAGCATCAACGAGGTGGCATTACTGATCAAAGTTGTAAGATGAGAATCTTAGTGTGAGGTTGGAGCCTTGTATGTCCAATAGATTAAGCATTCCTAACTGAATAATATAATAGAAAAAAAAAAAGGGAATAACCGAATAAAGGTGTGCTTGATGTTTATTGTAATTGATCTATCGAAAGTGAATGCCAAAAGTGACTGAGTATATGACTACTGTTCTGAAAACTGCCTGCATATTTTTCTTGTAATCTCATCTAGTTGAGTTTACAGTCAGACTAATGTATGCAGTTGTTATTACTTCACGGGGATTGTGAAAGTACCTTATTTCTTAATTGGATAAACTTCAGAAACCCTTATACAATGAGGTTTTTAATATTCGTAACATTAGTTACACATCTGTGAAATTGAACTGGTAGAAAAGTGGGATGCCCTTTGTTCCATCATATTTAAGCTGGTAGCATCAATTGTTTTAATCCCGTTTTCTTCAGCTAGCTTCTTCTTCGAAAGGCGGAACATCAAATGAGCGCGTGCCAAAGAAAAGGTCTCAGGATGCAATGTGGTCAGACTATGGGGTAAGTTCGCATCGCTTTTTAGCTATTCTCTAAGAAAGCATGTTGATTTGCAACCAAGATGTTGATTTGCAGGATGCTGTTGGATCGGGAGTTATGTCAAATGATTCTCAAAGAAAGCATGTGAAGTCAGAACATAACGGTGACCAAGCATTATCATCAGGAGTGAGTGGCTGTTAACAATGAATATTGCGAAATAAATATATAAATAGTAAATAAAATCCCCTCTCTAGACTAAATATCTAGACCAAAAGGCGTTTATACTTATCATAACTCTTACTAAGTAGTGGTGAAAACAAACTCGTAGGAGCAACCTATATAAGGCTCGGCTCTTGTAATTTTCTTTAATGGTGCTATATGATTTGTTGCAAATGAACCTGTTATTTGGCATCCTTAGCAGCGCTCTTGTACTCTCGAATTTGATGGTGCTTCAAAAGGAAATCCCGGACAAGCCGGGGCGGGAGTTGTGCTGCGAGCAGATGATGGTAGCTTGGTAAATGTCATTATTATTGAAGCATCTATCACTTTCTCTACTTTCTTCGTTTTTCATGTTTTAAACCTTCCTATACAGACATGTAGGCTTCGTGAAGGTTTGGGTGTAGCAACAAACAATGCTGCTGAATATCGAGCCATTATTTTGGGTTTAAAGTATGCGCTTAGCAAAGGATTTACGAGCATTCGAGCACAAGGTGACTCTAAGCTTGTGTGTATGCAGGTTTGGTTTCTTTTTCTTAGTTCATGTATTCACAGTTTCACACATCTACTGTTTGTTTTGAAGTACCGGTTTGAAACTTTGTTTTTATCGAATAGGTCCAGGGTCTTTGGAAGGTTAAAAACCAAAATATCTCCCCCCTGTACGAGCAGGCAAAACAATTGAAGGATAAATTTCATTCTTTTCGGCTCATTCATGTTCTGCGGGTAATTTCAGTTACTATTTTTTCTACTCCCGGTAGGATATGCATAAATTCTTTGTATGTCTCAAATAATTCAGTCTCGCAATATCTGCAGTAGCCAGTAGGTCTATTACTCCAACGCCTATGTGCTAATACCATTGCATGCCTTGTTATGCTTCAACAATTAACCTTTGTCCGTCACATTGCTCATTCTTTGTCGACCAACATTTATTTTGATATTATTGATGATAGGAGTCGAATTCTGATGCTGATGCACAGGCAAACTTGGCTGTCGAACTTCCTGGTAAGCAATTAGTCGTGTCAAGTGGCCAAACCAATCTGGCTAGCACTTTGCCCCT